CAATTGGGATTTGCCAGAAGCAACCCTTGTGAAACTTAGAAGTACTGACAGATGTTGACAATAGTGGTAAAATTTTTATCTTGCTGAACACATCAAAGTGATTTGATCAAGCCTTTGGAGACTCTATACCATTGATCAAAGTCTTGTGGTGTTGGTTGTGTCTCCAAGGAAGTGTTCAACTATACAAAAACTGGGATTTTTTTTTGCTTATTGGGGCAAGAGGCTGCTGCTCTTGGCTTAAAGTTCTATGATACAAAAACTTCTGTTTTGTTGGATTAGTCAATCCCGTATTGTAGTACTTGTATGCTTGTACTCAGTTATGCTTATATCAAGCCTCCCATTGCTACTTAGTCACCAGATCTCTACTCAGTATGCTTTCCTCACTGAATAACAATATTTATATTCTCATTGTCAAGCTCACTCGTGAGTCTTGACCTCACTCAGTGTTTCAGTCCACTACAAACAATACCAATTTTGCCCCAGGAAAAAATGGCAATTTGGTTGGTGGAAAATAGGTCACTTTCCTGAGCATTTTTTTACAAAATGACTCAGGAGTAAAAATTAAGCTAAAATGAGCTATTTTAGCCAAAAATTAAAAATGCCTCAAATGAGCTAAAAATGAATTTTGGAAAGTTTGAGGCATTTTTATTTTTGGGCTAAAACAGCTCATTTTAGCCTGATTTTTACTCCTGATCTCATTTTGTAAAAAAGCCTCAGGAAATTGAACAATTTTCCACCACTCAAATTGCCATTTTTTCCTGGGGCGAAACTGGTATTGTTTGTAGTGGTCCCTGGTGCCCCCCAACAGGTTATGAGACCCTCTTAGTCTCACTCTTACATACTCAATTTTTTTCCATCATCATTCAAGATACAAACATAGCTTGGTTCCACTCACAAAAGATCTCTCTCTGCGGACATTGATCAATCAACATTCAATCATGTCGGGCTACAGAAAAATTCAGAACGTTTCCTTGTTAGTGGCAACCATTGAGTCGTTGGAAGGAACTGTGGCTGTTTTTCCCCGATGGCGCTCTTGTCTCAAGGACGTTCTCGGGATGCAAAACACTCTTGATAATGTTAAAGGTACCCTTCCACGTCCAAAAGAAGAGTCAAAGGAAGCTACCATCTCCTCTCGCACGGCCGATTCCAAAGGAGTCAAAAGAAGACTGGGATGTGTTGTCCAAGATGGCTTGTTCAACGATCCGTCTCACATTGACTGATCCACTAGCTCAACAATACAGGAAGGTCAAGCCGGTGTTAAGCTCAAAAGTGTTCGTGAGAACCTTTTGCTGAGTTTGGAAAGGGATGTGTGAGGTAACCTCTGCCTTTCCTGTGTACTACACTAAACAAGACCACCAATCTTAGATTGGCAGCTTTTAATTAGTGATAGTGGAGTGTATCAAAAGATACTCTGTTGTTTAACAGGTGGACAGGTGCAAAAATGGGTTGTTGTTATGTTAAAAGATGTTGTAATAATTGTATGTAAGGGTTGTTATAATTGTAAAACCAAAATATTGGGGAACAAATAATATTATGGAGTGAGCAGTGATTTTCCTGTTATGTGGGGAAATGTCTGCAGGAAGTCTGCTGGGGAGAAATTACAAATGGGAGGAAGGGCCTCCTTATATAGACAACAATGAGGTATTTAATGAGGGATTTTGGCTGGTTGTACAGCCTTACATGAGGGAATTTGGCCAAGATGGAAGAATACATGACGGTTTTTGGCTGGTGGTACAGCCTACATGATGTGATTTGAGAAGTTGAGTGGTTTCCGTCGGATTGACAAGCTGTGCAACAGTTGCTATGCAACCTAGCAACCTGCAGGCTGTGTTCTGTAAGCCGCATGATGTCATCCTGTATTTGAGGCTGTACGCATCGCATGACAGGTTGCCAAGGTAACCTGTATGCTGTGCCTGCATACTTCCATTGTACTTGCTTGAGATGTACAGATGCCAGATCACATGGCCCGGAGGGGTGACATGTGTACCTGATACCCTTGTAACATGTAAGGGCGCTTGACCCCCCTACCTGTGAGTGAAATAGGGGTGTAACATGCAACACAGAGGGGTTGCATGTGTCCAAGCCTGCTCCTCTAGGGTGATTTTGGCTCTGAACTCCATTCCTGGAGCCCTATTTGGTGTAATATTATTGTATATACAAGAAAGCTCTAAATTTTTGAAGTGGTTGGATGGGAAACCATAAAGTATCCCACACCGGCTTCTTGACTGTTCGCAACCATTGTTAAAGCTTATGAGAAAAACACTTGGGCCCGTCAAATACGCTTGCAGGAAGCTTTCTGGAACGTTTGTCATGATCCTAACAAACCAATTGCATTGTGGATTGGTTGTCTTAGGGTAGCTGCCGATGATCTTCTCTCCATTGAAGAACTTTCGACCGATTGTCAAATCGCTGATTGTTTAGTCGGTGGACTTGATCCCTCTTGGTCAGCCGTCAGAGACTCAGTCGTCTATCCTGCAAAAGAAATGTTGTTGGACGACACTATTGGAGCATTGGAAGCTCACAAGGTCGGCCTTAAAGGGACCGGCCAACACAGACTTGTCTCTGCCGCATCAACCAAACAACTAGCCTGTTCCAACTGCGGCAAACATGGCCACCAATATTCCAAGTGCCAAAAGAAGAACTAGAGTAAAACCAATTCTGGCGCCGCGACTACGGTTAAACTAGGTGGTTATGACTCTTAATCTTTTTATGATGGTTATGAGATTGGTGTCATCTATGAGTAACTGAACTCTGCCTGAAGTCAACTTTATAATTTTTCTTTGTACACTGAGATTCTTCAGCCTACTCAATGGCAATTCCACTACTGTAGTACAATTTCCAAGTTTTATTTGATTTTATTATATATTATGGTGCTGAATCTATGGCTTGTTATCAGCAAGGAGGGATGTTGGATTGATCAATCCTGTATGCTTGTACCCAGTTATGCTTATATCAAGCCTCCCATTGCTACTTAGTCACCGGATCTCTACTCAATATGCTTTCCTCACTGAATAACGATACTTATATTCTCATCGTCAAATTTACTGTCTCAGCCTCACTCAGTGTTTCAGTCACTGGTGCCCCCCAACATGTGTGGATGAGGACATTTAATCAGGAGAAAAAAGAGGAATCATTTTAACTGAAAGTTGTGGGGAGCGGAGGGAAAGGTATAAAAGGAGGCTAAGATTGATTGAGATTCAGGAATTGTATGGCAGTTGTTTGGTGACATTGCTTAGTGTAATAAAATCCAGAGATAATATCACAGGGTTTTTAAAGGTGAAATATATATAGGGTGTCAGATGAAATGAACATTGTGGAGGATTGCCTTAGTGCTTCTCTGGTATTTAAACCCCCAAGATTTCCCTCCTTGTTTGTCTCTTCAGTCATCTAAGTTATCATTCCTTGTCTATATGTTTTAGCTGTTGGTTTCATTTTTTGAATCATATCTTTATCCTTTTTGCAGCCTTTCCTGATCAGCCCTGCGGCTGGATTGCCAAGGCTCTTGTGGCAGAACGTCCAGACATCAAAACATGAGACGGGGGTCAACTTGAACGTTCCAAGGGATATACTTGAAAATATATATCAAGTGGCCAATCTCAGGGCCGTTAAATCTTGTAACTCTATCAGAAGCACAGAGTTCCCCACTCATGTGCCCTGATCAACGCAGTACTATATGTTTTAGCTGTGGTTTCATTGTTTGCATCATATCTTTATCCTTTTTGCAGCCTTTCCTGATTAGCCCTCCAGCTGCATTGCCAAGGCTCTTGTGGCAAAAAGTCCAGACATCAAAACATGAGATAGGGGTCAACCTAAACATTCCAAGGGATATAATTTAAAATATATATCAAGTGGCCAATCTCAGGTCCTTTAAATCTTTTAACTCTATCAGAAACACAGAGTTCCCCACTCATGTTCCCTGCTCAACACAGTCACCTCAAGGCTTGACCATCCACCAAAAAATTGTGGAACACATGATAAGCTGGTGCCTATTTAGGACCTTCCCCTCACCACAAAACATCAGATTGCCCTCCCAGCATTACTTCTACTCATCCAACAACCCAGATTGTAAGAATTTTACCATTGGCAATTACACTTAGATTGATCATGGCTAGAGAGAAGGTATATTTTTATGTTCTCTAATTTAAAGATAATCTATTCATCTCTAACATTCTTTTTTGCTCCCTTGTCCAGCCCTTTCCCAGGTGTAACCGCATGGGCACCGGTGGGAAACCACCCATTGCTAATTTGCAAAAGTCTGTATAAAAGCTTGACTCAGTTGACCTGC